AATAGAAGTAGATCTTTGAGAAAAATAGCGAAATTGGGCGGAGCGTCGCGGGAGAGGGAGTTTCATAATGGATACGAGTGGAGTTCAGTTAATGCAGACACTGGAAGTGAATTACAATGCAGTCATGCGTACGGCTGTTCTCCTAAATGTAACTTCACTATACGCATATTTTGTTGAACTCTCCTGCCGGGGGTGTAGTGCCGGGGGTCGTTTATAGAAGCAAACAAGTCTTCTATAATTCGGGAGCGAAAATGTCTATTTGCAAACACTACTAACTTCCTTTTGTTGATACTTTTATTCATCATTTAACTACTTGTGGTTAAATATTCTAGAGCTCAAGAACACGTACTCAAATTGTACTTCTCCTAATACATCGCGTATAGGTTTTACTGTTTCATTGGCAAAATAAATCCAAAAATCAAATTCTCTACGGAGTCATGTGTACGTCTGATTTGAATTTTTTACAGGTCACCTGCTTTCGTGAAGCCAGAGAACAGTGCATACATGTCAGTTGGGTTTAGAAAAAACGTACAAAATTGTGGACGGATTTTTAATTTTCGTTTGGGAGCATTTCTAAGGTGCACATGAAGGTACATCGAGATACCAGGAACCGAAGTTATGATAACGATTTGTGGTATCTGATGTTAGATAGAACAGTATTGTCTTGGCAGTTGTTGCAACGCGCGTACCTTGATGGGATTCTTGGAGATAACCGCAATGAATCCATGGAAATCGTTGCTGCCGGTGCGTGGCCAAGAGCTGGTAAGAGGTTGGAAATTGCGCGAGAAAAATAATGAAACATATAATGAAAGAAAGAAGAGGATTTAAACACATTCTCCATACAGGTCCAGTGAGAATAATTCCTCTTTGAGAGGCGAGTTTGCTGAAGGAGTCAAAATTTGTAGCAAAATGTTTGTGGGATTATCTTGATATGATGCCCACGTTTGCCATATGATGCCTATGGACACGGGGACTGCTAACGCAACCACGTACTTGCACTTCCTCAACATACCGAACTCAAATAAGCTATGACCAGTAAGCATCTTGGAATGTTGTCAAATAGAATTGCTGTATTGTACGACTCAGCAGGCTATCATGTTACGCAGCTGTGCCGTGATCAAGTGTGGCGTTTCCGTTGACAGGCGTTCTTTGCTGGAGGCATTCACATGATATGCTGGGACATAGGCATGTGTAGGGTAGAGGCCATGGGGACCACGTCTCCCTGAAGACGTGAAAGGGTACCCGTAGCCTTACGTATTTAAATATTTTAAATCCCTGACGTGATGACGTGTGGAAAGTAAAAAAAAAAATTAAAATTGACAATGGTGACAAACCGACAGATTCATACGTCTATCCATTAAATAATGTTATTATATTTGTATCTACTTCCCGTGTGTATTATGTGTTCGGTGTGTATTATGTGGTATCTTCTCTACTTTTCGGTGTATGTATTTCGGTCTCATGGTCTTGAGCAGCGATGTCCAACTAGCGAGGCTTAAAGGGCCACAACTAACACCTTTAATATGGTTGCGGGCCATATTTTCATTACTCGAACGATCCACACCTGACATCCCCGTACTGTTAATCTCGGCAATTTGTCCGGCTGCTGTGAAATGCATGGGAAGGGGCTTCCCCCCTCCTCCAATCATCAGGCCGTACCATGCATAACGCGGTGAAACACATTGGGATGATTTTCAATTTACTTGAAAAATCCTTAAATCTAAACAACCTAATTTTACTTATAGGTGGTGTTGACCGCGGCAGAGCGCGTGCTCTAGTCCCACAATGTTCTCGCAAGATGTGATTAAAAGGGGCTTTCACATTTGACTAATAACCTTTTGCCGGCCACAATAAATGGCACCACAGGCCAGTTCGACAACTCTGGTCTAGAGAAATAAAATTTCAAACATATCGCCGTTTTATTTAGTTCTAAAATTCAACATTTGTGTTGTATAGACATTAAGTTGATGACTTGCACTTATTCAATAATTAAATATAATCTACATAAAAGTAAGGAACGAATTCGACGCAAAAAGGTGACGAAACTTTGGAATCCATCTTTGAAAGGGCCAATTTAGACAATATTTCCCCTCATAACTCCCTAAAAATGCGCAAAAATCTAAAAATAGCCCGAAAACAGCTAAAATTATCGAAAAATGTTTCTGTACTACTCGGAAAAATTCCAGTAAATTTAGTTTATTTCTCCTATAAGCGCCCAATAATATTAAAAAAATCAGAAATTTAAAAAATTGTCTGACACTTGTATATGTAAAAAATCGGATTAAATGACTATCAATAGATAAGTGGGACTTAGAAATATATTTGCCTTGCTCTTAGCCTACGCACGCATACGGCTATTAATATGAACAGATTAGGTACCGGATATGTGCCGATGTACAGATATGATATATTTCATATTATATATTTCATGTACGTTGGGAGAAAAGAGTAAGTTCAATTTATAGTAACAGTGAAAAAGAGGAGACTCACATTAAATATGTTCGTATAAAATTATCTATTTAACACAAAATTTGATAATTTTATACGATTAATAATTGCGTGTTATCTCGCTAACAATTTCCCGGTTTTCAAGATAGTAAAAGACTTATCAGCTTAGCTCTTTTATCCATGGCGTCTCCGATACTTAAAAACGAACACAATAATCATGTAGACTTACTCCATGATCCAAAAAACTTAGTATTTCTTATTAACTATTTGTCAGTCTTCACCAAGAAAAACAAGAGAATTAGAAATATGTGTTTCACATATACTCAATATTGAGTCATTAATTACCAATCAATTCTTAGCTTGATGCCAAGCCAGCACTCATTCGTTTTCTCAACGACAATAGGTGGCAACAATATCGAAATTATGGCAATTAAGTAACAATATATTATTAGACAATTTTAAACCGATTTTGCAATCATGGTTGTGCAATCATGGTTGTGTCAGCATGACACAGCTGTTGACATGATGCATAAAAATTGCATTTCTTAAAACAATGCCTTATGATATGAAGTTTCAGTGGCCTGTTGTGACACAAACCAGTTGTGAGATTTGGTGATCTTGACTCACGGGTCATTAAAACACGATCAATTCTTCCAGAGTAGTGAGTGACACGACGCTGTCTTTGACGAGTGTCATTGGATTTCAACACCGCGCTTAGATTATCTTGTTACCGATGTACTATTTTGTTACAGATGTAACATGCATTACAAACGTCCATTAAAACAAATAGATAAAAGTTTTATTACACTCATCCACTTGTGCATGTTGTAAATGTACGACTAATATAAACCTGCCCTATTGTTAGTCAAACTGCGTAAAAGCGTAATTAAAATAATTTATATCGTATATTTAAACCAAAGTTTCTCCCTACTAACATTTTCTTTACGTCATTAGCATAATGTGTCGTGAAATTCGAAACGGCATTTACTAAAATAAATAATGGAATGATGGGACACGTAAGGTGGAAATTATCGCAAACTATTCAATCTACTCCTCAGTCGCCAATGAATTATTACTTACTCAAGAATTTGTTCACAATAACTCAGTATCTCACTACTAAGTGATTTTACATTACTGCAACAAGAGCAGGGCAGAATGGCTTTAAAAATGCCCTCGCTTTCAAGAACATCTACATCAGGCATTACAAACCGCGCCCGCACGGGCTACTTGCCCGCCTTGGTTACCTGGCGATCCAACGGGAACGGGCAACTTCCTCTGACACCGTACCCATTTCCCCTCCAAATACAGATAGTGTGCATGCGCAAGCTGAAGCGGTGCGAGACGGCGAATTGTTTGAAATTGATGACAATTTTTAATTTTACTCTCAATTGAGAATTTGAAATCGGACTGATGTATTATTTCATTTCAATGAAGAATTTCTTTGCTTCCAAGAGAAAATGAAAATTAATATAGCTGATTTTGTAACAATAGTAGTTCTTAATCAAGTAAATTCTCCCAAAGACTGTCAAGGGTCAGATATCCAGTGGCATACCGCCACTCTCTAGCAATTTCAACAACCCAATTATTTTTTTTATTAGCCTCTCCAATTCCCCAAACGACCCTTGTGAATCGGTATATCATCACACGCATTCCAAGTGCTTAATTTCATTTCTTCGCTGAAACGGTCGACCTAAAACGCATTTATTACGTTACTTTACCTGTTCTTGATATATGTACACGATATGCTTCTCCGCGCGGTGGCTTCAAGATTTACTTTTAAGAGCCCACAGAAATCCAGCAGTTTTTTTGCATTTTAGATGATATGAACTTCAAACACTAAAAATAAATATATTCCGAGTATTCTGTAAAAAAGACGTTTTAAGTAGTATTCCAACATAATCGGAGTAAGTTTTATACATTCTACCAGGTTACAGAATCTGGTTGAAGATGACGAGATAAAACAAATATCGAAAATCAAATTATCACAAAGGCAACAAATAACAAAAAAGGTTAAAATGGAAATTAAAACCATCAAAACTACAATTATTTAGGAACTCCGTACTGGATCCAGCTCTGCCGAAAACCTGACTTGAAAGAAGAGAGCAAGTTATCATCACTAGACTAAGGATTGGTCACTTTAATCTGAAATATTGTTACATATTCAAAAATTCCGACGCAGAACCATGCCCTAAATGTCGTGCAGCAATATCTACATACCACCTTATTCTAGAATGCCCCGTTATTGCTAAGGAAAGAGATTTACTGAAGTTCAACACATTGTTCAGCTCTGCAGACGGGTGTCCGAAAGTACTGAAGTTGCAAGAAATTGTTCATTAAAGAAAGACAATATAATATAAAATTGATTTTAAGGACATACAATCATGGGGGGTAATATGTGATGTAATGTTTTAAATTGTCGTGTAATATAATACGTTACATAATTGATGTATACATAACTGCGGTCGCTGATGGCCTTTGTTGTTAAAAAGCGACCTAAAAATAAATAAAATAGAAAAATCAAATGAAAAGAAGTACAAAAGAAGAAAAAAAACCTTTGGCCTCTAGGCTCCTGCCACGTGATTCCTTCCATTCTCCTTGACCCTGGCAGGTTCACAAGCATAAAGGTGAAACCGCTAATGGCCCCCTCCCCCACAAGCAGGCCGGCGAGCGCCGGCGCCAGCACGCCCACAAAGCGACCGGAGCAGCACGCCCACAAAGCGACGCGGGTCGTGGCAGTGGACGGATGGGTCGTGAGCGCCGCTGCTCCCCGCTGCTCGCCCCCTCCCCGTTTCCCAGCCCCGCCGCCGGAACAGAGGGAGGGGAGCCGCCGGAGCCGCTTCGGAGAACGCAAAGGCGACCGCCCGGCATCACAGCCGGCAGCGCTGGCGCCGCGACGCCTCCCCACACCGCTCCGGCGCTTCTGCGTGCGTTTCCAAAGACCTGGAGACAGACGTCGCCTTTAAAAGTCCTGCCGTGCGACGCGCCCCACCCCTCCCCACCCCACCCCACCCCCCGCTCGCCGCACGGCAGATACTTCCCCAGCTCGGTGCTACGTTTCCGCGGCTCCCTCTGCAAGTTCACCCAGCGGATATAAACGTATGAAAGCCCGAATCTTCATTCGTATGAGTATATACGTCAATGTTTGTTCTGCACACCATTCGCAAGCCTTCAATTCGTTTACACAGGCGAAGGTAAGGTCGAATGTATCAGATCAAAACACGTTAATAGTAAACATAGGGTCATTCAATGTCAACTCGTCACAAAAAACTCAATTTTCAACAAAACTCGGCATATGCGTTCCTTGGCCGTAGAATTGACATACTCTACTGCTTTTATATTTTAATTTGAATTACATTTTAAGTTACGGCCTACCAACATTACAATTAAAAAAACTATTTTCCTACAGTGGCTGTTTTAAATACCGTGAAAAAGTCATGCGGGTGCTGTATGTCCGTTAGCATTTAAAAATTTCTTCTTGCATCGGTGCGCTGTGCACTCTTCGCGGCCCTCCTGCCCTTAGTTTAAGCCGTTTGACAGCAGTTTGATAAGTTTTGGAGATTCACTTGTTCGACAAAAGAGAATTTCAACTACAATATTGTAGATGATTTTTATCTTCACGAAATTTGCAAAAACTGATCGCGACTTAAGGTTAGGTACTATCTTTCAAAAATATGAGTAATTTGAGCGGAATCGTGAATGAAATGTTGGCAATTTTTAAACAATACACAGCGATTCCACTTCTCTTCCTCCCATTCATCATAAAAAATACTATTAATAAATCCCTGTCAGAAAAGAGTTATATTTATTTTGCCAAACTAGTAATTGTAATGTGTGAAAGATGTTTATTTACAGCACATAGTGCACGTTTTGGAGCGTTGGTGTTGTCCATTTCAGAAGAAATACGACTGCTCCTGGCTGGTCGGCGGAGTCCTGAACCATCACTGGGATGGGGATCAACTTCTTATCATAATCATTACACCCTCCGAATTTAGCTCTTTTCTTGCATAGTCAAAGAATGTGTGCGACTTAGGTGGAATGTTTAAAAAAAATCATACTGCAATTATTTTCAAGAACTGGATCACAAAAATTGCCGGAACATTTTCAGAAATGTTGTGCCGATGATAAAACACGTGCTTCCTTATTTAATAGTAGACCAAAAAGGTGTGGTTTGGCCAGGAACAAAATCAAAGAGCAGCAAATGTTAAACGAAAGTTGTGAAAATGAAACCATGCACAATCTGACGTAGGTAATGACGAGGAATAGGTATTTAGACACGGAACGTCCCTCCATGCGTTTGAAAGCGGTTTGATAAAAGTTTTGAAGAGTCACCTGTCCGACCAAAGAGAATTACAACTACAATAATCAAGATGATTTTTTTCTTACTGAAATCTGTCGTTCAAATACCAAGTACTTCGCGTTTTACATAATTTCTTAACCAATTGAGCAGGTCTTATTTTTGAAAATTGAAACCAAATAATTAATATTCCAGAAATACAATGTTGATGATAGAGAGTTTTGCATTAGTGATTTTTTCCCCTAAATAATCTTGAAACAGTGAAAAATAAAATTTCTGATTTTTTTAAAATTGCAAATGCAAACGCTCAACGCCTTTTGAATTGCCGGGAAGGCTAGTGGTGTACGGAGTAATGTGGTGCTAACAGTAATGACCTGATATCAAATCCTAACACCAAGGAAAACGATTTGCTGGTTGGATGCACTTTGGTCTACATTGTATAATAATATTACCTAGTTTTCACAAATAAAAGGAGAAAATACGAGGGATAGAGCGTAAGGCATGGGAACATTTTTTTATGACAATACGAGCACGGGTGAGAAATGTGAAATATACACAAGAAAGGACAAACTATGAACTAACTGAACGGACATTTTATGACACTCCAATATTGTGTTTATATTATTTATTAAGGTATTTGAAAATACCACTGGTTTCATGTTACAAAGCATTTTACCATATGCGAGTTCAAACAATCCAAAATCATTACATACCCGTTCCAAAAGCCACATTATTATTATTATTATTATTATTATTATTATTATTATTATTATTATTATTATTATTATTATTTTAGTTGTGTATATTTTACATTTGCCTTCTTTTTGCCTATTGGCCATGTCCATGAGCGTTACTCCGAGTACTTATATCACTTACAATTATTATAATTCCTATCACATTACAAGATTGTTAGTCAATATTTCTGGTTTTTATCACACTGCATGATTTCCACCATAACCACATTGTCAATCGCCCCTTCTTCAGGCAGCTCCTTTCACTTTATTACTTTCCCACCTCTTTGCCGCCGCAGCCTTGCTAAGTGTCGGCCGCGACATACCACATTGAGCCGAGCAGGACCAGTATTTTTGCGGAACCTCTTTAGCAATAATAAAACATTGATACAGACATCGAAAGACACTATATACGAATAAATAATGCATAATGCAGAATACAATTAAGTAATACAATACAATAACAATATACAGCATAGTATACGTCGTATAATATAGTTAGGCATTGTGCCCCACGGCCTCCGTGCCGCGCATAACATCGCCGGATTCTACCTTAATTTCGGCCGCCACGCTTTCATTGCGCTGTAGAAGGTCACACGATCCTCGACGTCGGCAACATAAACGCCATCTTTCATTAATCACTAGTTCCAAAAGCGTTAGGAGTACCTGGGTTATAAAATTCATATACTGAACGCCTCTTAAAGCGCTCGGGTAAGAAGTGAGGACATTTTTTATGACAGTTCTTGTAAAACACGCATAATCTGTCCAAGGAATGAAATTCCTGGTTTTCTGTGCATTTGCGGAGGAAATGCCTAGAGAATTGAAAACGATGTTATAAATGTCTATTGAGCAAATGCTGCCCCTGCTGGAAATGGAAAAGTCGTAATCCCCCCCTCAAGAATTTTTTGCCAGACGAGGGACTGTGGTACCTTGACCTCGCGCGCATTTGCCTTGTGCTCGCTTCCAGGGCTTCTCAGATAGTATTAGCAATTGACTTTTCCAGAGAAGTGGCATGCCCTAACGCGAGGTAAAGCCTCTCGCTCACTTGCCATAACACAAGCGCGTAGCCCAAAGTTTAACGTTAATTATTTAAAAAACCAAACGACGGAGAGTATCCAATTTTGGCCAAGATGAGTCTGTACATTACATATGGAATAAGGTCCCGGCGCTTTAGCAACGAGGACTGAATACCCCTGTATATATTGTAATACACATGAATACAAACGTAATGTAGAGAAATAAGCAGCGTTTCGATATTCAATCGTGAATCACAATTTAGAAAGTATATCTCCCATTTCCATCATTTCCATCTATCTGGAATTTATTGCTCATTCTGTGCTAATATTATTTTCTTAGCAAAAGTTTCAATTTCATTGTAAAACTCTCAGTGAATAGCATTGCAGTTGGGCATTGCTTCCATTCTCATTTCAACACTCTGCCTCAACTCAATCTCAAACCGCGCCTTCGGGCAATTGCCGAGCAAATGCACTTCAGTCTCCTCCACTCCACATTCGCATTTGGGAGAGTCGTTAGCACTAGTTTGTACAATTTTGATCTAAATGGTCCGTGAGCGTTTATAATTTGAACCCATGCCCTTGAATGCTGCAAATACCGAAACTCCTTACGTGATCTGACTAACGGCAGAAATGTATATGCATCTCTGCCTGTTCCGCTACTCTCCCACCTGTTTTGTCACAACGCTTACATAAACATACATTTATATAAACAGATTTTATAACTATACGTCATTCAATATCTTGTCTTTAATTAGGTCTCTTTGATCTGATATACATTAGGTCGGTTTGATCTGATATAATACCTACCTAACAAATGTCTAACCTAAAAAATTTCATACCAACAATTTTTAACACGGACCGGAATTGAAAAAAAAGAACCCTAACAGTATAAAAGTACAAATAGTCCGGTGCAATTCCGAAGGGTGGGAGTATCTGGAGTATACCGGTTATATTTAGATTTTATTCTCGTTTTTTGTAATTTTGATAGTTTTCCATTTCATTTAAACAATTCCTGGCTCTGTTCCTGCTGACAACTGCTGGTAACTGCACCAGCAGAAACGAGACCGCAATCGCTGTTGGCACAATAACGTTAAAAGAGCTAAAATTGCGTTTAAGGAAATGAAAAATAGAAAAGTTATGCCTCCTAGTGTTATGACATTGAGCTCTTAAAATATGACGATTTGATATTAAATGTAAGATGGAGAGTTTTGTTGTTGGAAGCCAAATAATATTAAAATACCATATAAATAATCACAAAGAGTAATACTGGTTACCTTTAAGAAAGCAGAACGAAGTAAATACAAAAATTACGAAGGTATTAGCATGCTAAACAAAAGTAATAAAATACAGCTATAAAACTAAATGAAATAATTTGTCTTATTTTGCACTATCTGTTCTAAAACGTCAATATATTGGCTAAAGAATGACTAGAGAACTGCGAACTGTATTTTCCCTCAGCAAATTGAATGGCATACGCATCTAATAGCCTCATTGACGCTGAAAAGGTTGTTACATCTTGCTGTTTGGGAGATAATAAGAAAGCAACGATTTCTAGCTCATTTGAAAGACGAAGTGGTCTGTCAGATATTTCACGGCTAGAATGATAAAGCTACAAAAAAACGTATAGAATCGACATTTCGTATCTGAAAGACGCAACACTTTTGACGTGGTGGAGAACACGAAACATAATACTTTTGTCGAACGCCGCCCGTTCCCCATCCCCTGGGTGGCGACCTTTTCATCGCGAGCGTCCTGCGGCGGCGGCGGCGGGTCACCACCGGTCGAGTGACGCGGGTCGAGAGGGCGAGGCCCAGGCGGCGCCGCCAGACCGGGGTCGGGGCGTTGAGCTGGCGCGGGAAGAAGCGGCCGCCCGCCCGCGCCGCCTGGCGCGACGAAGAAGAAACGACTGCCCCTCTCTCTCCTTCGTGCCCGACCGCTCACCTGCTCCTTCGTTAGGGCGCTGTGCCCGCCGCGGTCGCCGCGGTGGCAGCGGCGGCGGCGGCGGCGGCGGCGTAGGCGGGGCGACAAGAGCCGGCGGTGGAGCTTGGGACGATAGATTTCGTAACGACCCGGTATTGTCAATTGTAGCGGCTACTCTTAAGCCGATTGTGACAAATTGGGAATGACGTAAGAATGTTCTGTTGGAAATAGCAAACGGGAGAAAAGATCGCAGAGAATGGTCGATTTAGAACGGCTTGCCAACAGTGGACGCCCTTGTAAACGATAGCAATTTAACACAAAACATTACATTTTGGAGTTGAGTTTTTTATGTTAACGTACAGACACGTGTTATATTATGTAGAATAATATAACACCCTACAACGTGATAACGAGCTATTGTGCGACAGTCGTGGCGCACGCAAATGTCACTCGGAGCGAGGGCGACAGCCACTTATTCCAACGGATGTGAGGGCAATGGCGGCGAACGTGGGCGAGCGGCTGTGTTCGGTGGGGAGCGAAGGCAAAAATAGCTGCCGCTGAGTGGGGAGGGGGGAGGGCAACAGCCACGATGAAACGGCAATAGAGCGTGACGCGAGAACGCCGCGAATGCGGGGGATGGGGGGGGGGGGTAGCGTTTGAAGAGGCGACGTGGGCGACGGCGCCCTCCCAAGGGGGAGAGCGATAGGCTTTGTGGCTTGGCTACTCTTTGGCCTTCAGCGGAAGGAAAGGCGTCGGGCGGCCCACGCACGGCCCAGGCACGGACGCTAATTGCGAGGATTTCGGCGGTCGTTTGTCTGCGTCCGCCGTGACCACCGGGCGCCCGACCGGAAAATCGATAATACGCACCAAACAAAACGACAAACGAGCGTTGCCTGGACGGTAATTGGGGAATAAGAATGAAATTATAACACACCTTCATTGCATTATTTCTTTTCGCAAATTAAAAAAGTACATATTATTATGTTATTTATTTTAGCAACAAGATCCTGTACCATAGGTACGTTTCTTTAGAGAAGGTAAATATCTTTATTACCAAAAAATGTGAAGTAGCAAATTATATTGCATTAACTCCACAGTACATTTTCATTTAGTTTAAGCCGAATACTTAATCTATTCTAAACATTCTGAATGTACACCAAATATATTCCGAATCAAAGGAACTTTATTTAGTGAAGAAAATATAATTATAAACGGAAATATGAAATCCTGTGTTATGGCCTCTTCAGAAAGTATTAGATATATATTATCATGGAGTTAATACGATCTCATCTGTGCAACTCAAATGTTAATGAATTGCAAACTGGAATTGTATGTGAGTTTGCAAACTTGTTTCGTTAATTTCCCTTTAAACGTTAAGAAACTATTAATGATCCTGATATATACGGCTATTCCAAAAATGGATGAGTCTCTTCCATTCGTTCGTTCTTATGTCACATTGTAGACACTAATGATCGTTTTTCGATATCAGCATACATATCAGGCATAGTGCACATGATCAGGCTACTATATCTTGTTGCAGTGGTTCTTAGTCGTACAAGCTTTCTTCTAGAATTTACAATACATGTTACTGATAAATGACCAACTTCCTTCAGCCTAACTTAAATAATTGAATTGTGCAACTTGTTTCAGTATCTTGAGTCATTCTCCCAGAAAACACTGCAGTCGCCATTAAGGAAGTTTGATTTTAATGCATTTAAAGCCTAGCTTTTGTTACTGAAATTTAAAAAAGTGAAGTTCGCGGTAATTGAGCCCAGCGCAACTGGAGCGAGATTTAAAAATAAGAGTTCTACAAATTAGTCTGAGATGAGAATAAATCACTAGGTACCTGGCTCAACATAGCGTATGGAGAAGTCTGTTGACAGATAGTGTTCGAAATTTACTAGTTACATTAATTGCATTTTCTCCTCTTCCAAAGCAAAGAATTGATCCATTAAAATGAATTAATACATCAGTCAGATTTTATATTGACAATTGGGAGTAAAAATAAACAAATCAAGTAATACACACAACTAATCTGGAGTAAATTACCTTAAAAATGAAATAACAAACACTTCGTAAATAATAAGAACTTTTCCGTTCGTTAGATTGACAGTTAAACATACAAGCCACGTTGGTAATGTGACAGGAAATTGAAGTCGTCCGTGGGGGCGGACAGAACGTAATTCACCTTCGTTAGCGGAACGTGCGTGCATCCATTGCCTATAGAGGCAAAACATACTCAACGTTGATTCTGGGACCTTTCTGACTATAAAGCACCAAGCGATGCAACCTCGGAACGTGACTCTAAGAGCTCGAGTAAATGCAGGAAGAAGGGAAACTATAAAAAAACTATAATATATAATGGCCTCACGAGCTTATGAAACGCTTGAACTGGAAATACAACACCTACTACCATAAAGAAATGTTCATTTTGTATTTCTCAATGAAAAATACTTACATAGTACTAAAACAGTTCGAGTCATTTATATTTTATTTTAAGTTAAATTGTATTAAACTAGTACAAATTGTTGAAGGTAGGCACTACATACCTTGTCTACACCAAGAACACGCCACTGTGAAATTTAGACCAAACACCGTATAATAAACAAGCTAATAAATAATGTGATCAATTTCGGTGGTCTAAAAGAAACCTAGTCAATGGTGTTGTTAAAATGCTTGCTGCGATACGATTTTATTCGTTTTAATGTTTATCTGAAAATACTTTTGCTACAAAGTTTCGTGACATCTTAATATTAATAGTGACTGATAATTTTTTAGGGTGGGGGTGAGGGGAATATCTCTCGTTTCCTCCCCTTGGATCCGCGCCTGATGTAAAGCTGTGCACAAGAGCACACACAAGCGGCGCGGCGCGATTCGGATCAGTTCAAGTTCGATTTTTTCACGCAAATTCGCGCGAACGGCCCCCGATCTGAACCCGCCAGCTTGAGAACATAGAGGATGGATTAATGATAAACGAAATGTTTTCGAAGCCGGTAATGTAGTAAAGCAAGCATAAAAAACACCTCATTATCATTGCAAAAATAGGGGAAGAAACTGCCCAAGCAATGGATACTTCAAAGAAGTATTTTTTATATACTCGAAGCTCATATATTTTCTAAAATAACATTTTATTTACACGTAATAATTTTTACTTATTAGTTTGTATGTAATGAATAATTATTACTTAAGTAATAAATACTATACTTATATAGTTATATATTATATACATACTTATTTCTATTTACATAAACCTGCATTAAGTCAATTTATTACTGCCCTAATAATAGCTACACATAATTTAATGTTTTATGAAATTCTGTCAGTTTCACTCATAACTTCGAACATGAATTTTCCAGGAACTAACTCTTATGTTTTTTCTGTAAGTCCTTTAATTAAATTGTGCAACTTTTTACACAAAACAACTCCGCAAAATTATTTACTTTTGAATGGTACGTATACAAAAATAAATAAACAAACAAAAATTAAATAAAAATCAGTATGTGTGAAGCAGCATGAACAGAAACAGTGCCATGAATAAACGTAGTCACATTTACATAATTCTTGTGGATACTAATTAAAATTTTTACATACAGAGGTCAATGATTTCTTTTAATGTATATGTCATGTCAAATCTATTAGCAATCAATTTCAAATATAAATATGATTTCAATTCAGCCTTGTAAAAAACCAAATAATTCCCATGACTATTACCCTTTGCAACATTTCCCAATATTGAAGAATATTTGGATTTAAAACGTTTATTGATTAGGAAAAATCTTAATGAACTTATTAATAATTATTTAATCTATACATCCAAACACTTTTCTGGTATGTATTTCATATACTTACTAAATAAGTCCATAAATTAAGTTATCATTTACATTTGCAATCCACATTCACACTATTGCATATAATTATATGCATAAAGAAAACTTTTACCTCTGAATAGGTCACTACATGGATTGACAAAATGTCAGCATTATGTAATAATGAAAGAATTGAAATAAATTGAGTTGCTTTTAAGTAAATAATTGATTCACAAGGTGATACAAATAACAAAATTGTAATTATGTTAAATCAACATCTAGACTCAAAATTAAATAGTAATAATCAATATCAAACTATTGTTTAATGAATATCTTTTTCTAGTTCCAGAAGATGAGATTTGATGCAGTGGAAGAACCTTCAGGGTACATATCGAAAAGAATTGAATAAAGTGAACAACATTTCTAGTGATGTTGCAGGTCAACTGAATACCTCTACATTGCCATTTTTTGATGTGCTCTACTTTTTAAAAGAAGAAGTGACTCTCACGTCAAACTTTGTCCAATAATACAGATGTAAATACAGATGAGAAAGATGTAGCAACAATACTTATTCATAGGCTTCCCCAATTGAAGGAAATGAGGTAAACATTATATCTGATTACATCTAAAACATTCATTCGATGATTGAAACTCTCATTGTGCAGGAAAAATATAATTTTAAAGTTGTAAAAAAAATGTGTTTCAAATGTTGAAAAGTTGCAAGAGACTTCTGCAAATCCATTTTCTCTTTCTTAAAAAAATACTTATGATATTCACATTTGCTAAATTAACATTAAGTTCAATATCAGGAACTTAATGATAAAAATAATAAGATAAATAAATAAATATCAAAATATATTGCAAGATTTGTCTCATTACAATGCTAAATATTTATTTTAAAATTAATAATAGAATTAAACAATTCTGATTTTATATTTATGTTCTGGATCTGGACTCCTGAAGTGCTGTTTTGTCAGCTGATGCTGATCAACCATCCACTTCTGTGCAATCACACAAGCAAAAAGAGAAGTCTGCTCAAGATGAAGTGGCAAGTAAGAAGTATCTGTATGATCAGAAACTCCAGATTTTCCAAAAAGAACCTAAATCTGAGAACTATCATTTTTTAATGAGCCTCTTGCCACATCTCACTGACATGGGAATTTGTTTCAAAAATTGTTAGTGAGGAACAAATTCAAGTGATTATTGATGAAAAGGAGAAATAATAATATTAAATTAATTCATTTCATATTATTCCAATTCTTTAATTTTTAAAAAAATATTATTTGTTTTTTCATCAATAATCACTTCATGGACATCAATTTTGGGCATACTGGAAGAGATTTGGCTGAGGCTTAGTAAAAAAATAATTAAATATCAAAAAATGGTCATGTTGAAGCCTG